GGGGGGGGGGGGAGAGTGGTATATAGACGTTAGAGTGATTTTAGGATTTAATTATTATAATTAAATGCCAAAAATGTACATAATTGGTAATTTTGTATATATTATGTAATTAGATTAAAACTTGAGCATGGAGAGTAATAAAGTTTGAAATAGTGTATAGGAATGTAAAAATCTCCTAACAAAATTGGCAAATCGAGGCCCGAACCGATAACCCAATAGTGAAAAAAATTCTAAACCGTTACCGAACCGTTAATCCAATAACCCGATACCGATAACCCAATAAATAACTAAAGGTTCGGGTTATCGGTTTTACCCGATATATGCCCAGCCCTAGCCTTTTGTACATCTAGAAGCCTTTCATCTCTAGTTGGTGATAAAAAAGGCTTCCATACGTCAAGAGACTTTTCTCTTCGGCGATGAACAATAAGTAATCTTCCTTCCGACGATGATCAAAGAACTTTTTCATACATCAAATTCTACCTCCATGTTCCTGGTTAAGGTTTGGCTCCATATTTGAGGATGAACTGTCAAGACTTTAGCAGTCATGAAGAGAATAATAAGAGTACTACATCTTTTGACTTAAGATAATCTAAAAGTTGTAACCTTCATCATTTTATGAACTATCAAGTATTAGATTTTGTAGTTATTTTCCATCTTTAAATTCCCAGGCACGAATTTTGGTGTTACGTTAAGGAATGTAAACATTCTCTCTATCTATCTGCATTCAAGCTCATCAATCTTACCTCGAACCTTCTAAATTAGCGACACACTAACAAGTTAGTAAGAGATTTTATGGGCTTGCCATTAGATTTAAGAAAATATATAGAATCTAAGAGAAAAAAAGTTGGTTCATAAGTAATACTCCTACTACATTTTGAGACGTCAAATTATATTCAAACTTTATAGATTTTGATGGAGGATGTTTACGTCCCATTTTGTACACACAAACTCAGAATGTGACATGCATGGTCACACTCGCACACAGAATAAGCAATATTTGTCATAATAGGCAACCTTTCCAGGCAGTCTCGAGGGCTGAAATTGTAATTTACTATCATAGGCAATATTTCTGGACAATTTCGAGGGCTGAAACTGTAATTTACTATCATAGGCAATATTTCGAGACCAAGAATGGCTTGAAAAACTATAGCAAATTGAAACAAGGGGATTACTGAGCAATACAATAAACTACTACTAGAGTACAAAAGTATTGACAATTTTTCTCGAAAGACAGCATCGCCATTGCCAATTTGCGATTAACAACACAGTTTCCTCATTAAAGCTGAATCTTAGTCAAATCTAAAAAGTTCCCAATCACTCTTCGCTGCAGTTATTATACCCAGCGCAGTAGATCTTCTTCTTCCAATCTTTAAAGAACAAGCTCTTTTCTTTTTTCCAAGTGTCAATTTAAAAGCCAAATGTACGCCAATTACCAGTTCAGATCAAAAACCCCAACCCTAAAATGCGGAGAAAGGTGACACAGATCCAACTTCTTACCTTCACAAACCCTAGCTTTGGACATGGCGAAGCATTCTTCCGTAGCTATGGCTCTGTTCCGCAAGCGCTGGCTGACTGTAGTAGCGCTCCTTGTGATGCTTTCAGTTACCACTGCCATTGCTTTTATCGTGAGAGCTAGCCTTGAGTCCTCCTGTGATTGCCGCGTAGATGTGGCTTCTGCGAAGCGATATAACTCTTCACCGGAATCAGCTAAGCCAATTGGAGTTGCTGTTACTCAGAGCCCTCTCAGTTTTATGAAGTCTAGGCTTGTGCTTCTTGTCTCCCACGAACTTTCCCTTTCTGGTACCTTTTGTTTTTTTTCTTTTGCTTTGCCTGAATTTCGCTTTTAATTACTATATATATATCGTATATTATGTTTAGTTCGGTTCGTCAATGTTGCTTATGGAGCATTCTAGAGTGAAATGTTGCTAGTCTAGCTGGACTGAAGAGTGTTGTTTAGCTGCATTAGTGAATCACTTGTGTTACTGTTGATCCTGTTGTTGTTGTGTGTGTGTGTGTGTGCGCGCCCTTTTTTTTGTGTATAGTGAGATGTGAAGTCAATTGTTTTTATATGCGTTTTTTTTAGAATGGTAACAATTATTTTAATATGCGTATTAATGGGTTGGATCTGCTATTTATTAGCTAATTCATTCATTCAGAATTAGTGTTGTAATGGAAGTTGGCTATTTAAGGTGTAAAAGGAAGTAATCACGAAATCACAAAACTAAATAAGAGGTGTAGAATCGGAGATGAGTTAAATTGAGAACATTAAAATGGTGGAATGGATGTTCGTGGCATCCCTAATTAATGCTGTGTGTATGTATCCTCTTTCTGTACCACTTTGGGAGAAGTTTAAATGAACTGAAATGTTTTAGAACAGTGTATTAACTGAAATGTCTATGGAACAAAATCAAATGAGAAACACGTGTTGCATACAAATAGATTGAGAAATCACTGGATCCTCCTATCTTGTCTTGTCGCTTTTCATTCTTTTGATCTACACCCTTTTGTTGGTATTATTTATCTTTATAGCACAAGATAGTTGTGAATGAGTTATGAAAGACGGTATAAAATTCGTTGAAGTTTGATAAAAGAAATTTGTTCTATAGCAGGATATTTGAGGTTATCTTGTACTTATATTTTTGAGCAATTAAGAGAGTTGATCTGTCATTTTGGATTCTTTAGCTAGCCGGTTTTTCACTCTTCTGGAGCTGGCAATATTTCATTATTTTGACGAGCAAAATAACCAGAGTTCTTAACCGCTAGATTTGAGCTTTGGCTAGAACCTCTTCAGCTGCTCCTTAACCTGATTGCTAAAATGTTTTAAAATATTGAAAATGGATGTAATCTTTGTAATCTGTTCTGGCTGATGAACATTTAATTCATGTTCCAAAATGTGCTCGCTCATGCTCTGTTGATAATGTGCTTTTTTGGTGCTAGCAACAGTTTGTCGACTTAAGTTTGCTGCTTCCCAGTTATTCTATGTTTTAATTATTTTTATTTTTACTTTGTATAACTTGATTTCAAATTTCCGCCAAACATTGAACCACTTCTGTTACAACTTTATTATTTCAGTAATTTCTCTGCATCTTCTTGATAATGGAAATGAGATCCAGTAAAAAGCATGTTACCAGTGAAGCCCTTGGTTTGATGCATCATTTAAATCCGTTCCATATATTCTAGAATGTTTTATTTTTTATCTGAAAAAAGAAACCTATTAGTTTGATTTTCCTTGCACTTGAAAACTGAGTTCAGTGCTGGCAAATAAATGGGCTGGGAGCCGAGAGAAAGAGGTTATGGATAATTGGGCCCTTTTGCATATTTTGATAATTAAGAGAGAAAAGAAAGAAAAGAACTTTCGAAGAGGCCGAAAATACATTGATTAGGAGTTAATTTCTCTCTATTTGGTATCTTTTGTATATTTGCATTTATGTTGTAATAAACACCGACATTTTAGGAACTTGGTATTTTGGATGCTTAAAGAATACTTGTATTGTACCTCCTTTATAATTGTGTTCATAGAAAGGAGAGATGGTTGGCATCCTCCTTACAAGGACGTGAACAGCCTTTGGGCTTTACCTGTTTACTACCTCCTTTATAATTATTACATCATCGTGGTTGAGTATCAATGAATATTTTGATTTATGAAAAAAGAAGGGAAAAAAAGGAAAGTGCCATATCATGGAAACAAATACTACTTCTAATCACTATGATTGCTCTTTCTTTCCATATAGGTGGACCCTTGTTGCTGATGGAGCTGGCATTTTTGCTGAGAAGTGTTGGAGCTGAAGTCTGTTGGATCACAAATCAAAGACCATCTGAAACAAATAACGTCGTATACAGTTTGGAACACAAAATGTTACACCGAGGAGTTCAGGTTGTACTTAGCAGTATTCCTTTCCAGCTTGAGATTTCATACCTTCCCATATATTTTCACAATTTCATCTTTCCTCGTTTTAATTTCAGTTTCAGTTCCTTTTCTTTTGAGAAAGGTAATAGTAATTTCAGTTTTAGTACTTGTTTTTGTCCTTTTGGTATTCTAGTTCATTGGTACTCATTCACCATTTCTTTGCAGACTAAATCTGTTTCCACCATTGGGCTCGTTTTTTTCTTTTTCTTTTATTTTTCCTATTATATATTTTGTTTTTTCAATTACTTTCTTAGTCCTAAAAAATGTCCATGTTTAACTTTTCACGGATATTAAGAAGAGAATTGAAAGTTAATGGGATGGAATACAAATAAACATGTAAGGAAAATTGTGAGACTGTAAAGACGAGCCTCGCGTGTGAAGTATAATATATGTAGAAAAAGCTATTCTTTTCTTTTCTTTTTTATGGTGGTATCCGAGCTAGCTTGCACTCTTCTCGACTATTCCACCGGGTACCTGCTGCTTCCCACCAAAATTATCCTTTTTCTTATTTGAGCTTTTATAGAGAAAAAGGGAAAATCAACTTGGGGGGAGGGACAAGTTCACTGAGGTATATAAAACGTAGTGTGTTTTAATCGCTTCTAATTTATTTGTTTAACCGGTATCCAACAAGTGTATAACAGTACTATCAGCAGAGATAACTGTCATTACTATTAGTGGAGGTTTTGCCCTATGTGTTCTGCCCCCTTATCCATTTGAGATGAAATTCCATGTTTTCCTGTAATTTCTCTTGGCTTTTAGCTCTTTTAGCATCTTACCCTCCATGAAAACTGAAATATGATAATGATAGAGGTCATTCTCTGTGAGATTCACTTTTTCTTTTCTAAATATTATCCTTATTTGTTTCATAACACACATTTTATGTTTCGATAAGTGATATTACTCCTTATAAACAATAGGGGTCATTCTCTGCAGGGTAGTCTGCCATTCGCTTATTTTGTTCCAGCAGCCTTAAGCAATTAATGGCTGGCATATTTGCAGTGATGTGCATGTCTAGTCACTGAGATCTAGAAATTTATTCTTCTGCCTTATTGAAACGTATAGTTTAGTAGGAAAGATTGAAATGATTGTGCTTATGGGAGGCATGTCTGCTTTCAGGTTGTCTCTGCTAAGGGTCAGGAGGCAATAGATACTGCTTTAAAAGCTGACTTGGTTGTTTTAAACACTGCCGTTGCTGGGAAATGGTTGGATGCTGTTCTCAAGGAACATGTTCCTCGTGTCCTTCCCAAAGTGTTATGGTGGATCCATGAAATGCGAGGTCATTACTTCAGTCTAGATTATGTGAAGCACCTCCCATATGTTGCTGGTGCAATGATTGATTCACATGTAACAGCTGAATACTGGAAGAATAGAACACAGGAACGGCTAAGGTATGTTTATAAGTTTGCAATTTTGATATAGTTGGTGACGGATCTACTTCCAGTGGCCTTTTGAGGTCATGCATCTTTAGGTTCAAATCACGTCTTGAGCATCATCGTTGTGATACCAGAATGTTTTGCTTACACATTAATGTGAATTTAGACGATAAATTGAGTAGATGAAATCGTTTTTTTTTTGACTGTTTAAATTGAGTAAATGAAATCTTCTAGTCTTATAGCCTGTTTGGNACCCTCCCCAGACCCCACTTGTGGGATTACACTGGGTTGTTGTTGTTGTTGTTGTTGTTGTTATAGCCTGTTTGGCCAAGCTGGAGAAATCAGTTTATTTTGAGAAGTGATCACGCCCCAACTATGCCTTATAAAAAGGACAATGCGGTCGTTGCAAATATAACCCGGTTTACAAGTCCGGAGTCGAATCCCACAGAGAACTAAGGCTTAGCTACAGCTGTTCACTATCACCAAGAAGACAAGCTTGAACAGTTCCTAACTTATAGATATTTAGATTCTTGTGTTTAACTAATTGATTAACAAATTAAAATAATAAATTAACAACTAAAGATACTAAGAGTTAGAGACAAGATTAAGGAGGTCTAGAGTTATGATTTCCCCAATTGTCGGAATCCTTCCCGCTATGTCTTCTATAATTTCGC